ATATATATATATATATATATTTGTTAAGTTACATCCAAGCTATGATTAAAATCTTATGTTAACTCCTCGTCAGTATACAATCTTGATAAAAAAAAAAAGATAAATTTATAATTTTAATTTTAAATATTCAAATCCTAACGATTTCTAATTTTAAGAAAAAAAATTCTTGTTAAATCTTTCTTTCCATCAACCCATGGTTTTATACACCAAAAATAAAAGTTAAAGTTTGGCAACACCTAAGGTGATGTAATAAATATATATTTTTTAACAAATTAAAATGCAACACGTAGTTAAACATTAATAAAACAATAAAAATAGACGAAGGATTGATCATTCGATTGTCATCTTTCTTTTTAAGATTAAGGTCCGAAATTCAAATATTTGCTCTTACTTTAAAACTCCTCATTTTTACCCAACAAAATAAAATTGACCGAGTCAACTTATATTAATAATAATAGTAATAATATAATAAATATGAAATTCCTTTCTTAAAACGTTACAAATCAATTTAGTAGGTATAAAGACAAAATAGACTATAAAATTTGTTAGAAGTACTCAGTATCATTGTCAACACATCATTTTTACTTTGGTATTGTTATTTATCAGTACTGGTGTATTTGTTTCGAATTTATTGATATTTTAAACTTTTTTTTTTATATTTCTCTGATAACATATGTTATATATTATGTATACAAAAAATGCACAACTCCATTACATATATACATCTATCTATTTATGGCAAATATAAATTTTTAAAATTATAAATAATTAATATCTAAAATTTGCAAACAAAAAAAAGTAAAATATAAAATTACTATAAAATATAATAAATTTATTATTAAATAGGTTCAATAGCCTATTTTAATGACCATATTTTATATTTGAAGTTATGAAAATGTAAAAATGATGATGAGAGAAAAAAAATTAAAAACTTATAAAAGAATCAAATAAGTGAAAAAATTAAAAGAAAAATATTAAAGCAAAATTTATATAGAACAAACCAAATCGGATCCTTACAAATTGGTACAAGCCAGATTGAATTGGTATAAATTGGTACGGTCAATACAAAATTGAAATGGTATAATACTGATATTGTATAGATTTTTCTTTAAAATTAATACATACCAGCCAGTATCACCAATATTGATACGATACAAATAACCAAACATTTGATTCAACTGTGTTTCTTATATACTCAAAACAACTTGAATTTCCTTTTTTTTTTTTCTTTGATCAAAGAATTTCCATTTCTTCAATATTGTACTCATAAAAAATGTGTACTAACCATAAAAACGGGAAGCAATTAGGTGTAATCGAGTATAAAGATAAGCAAAGCCCAAATGTCCACTAAAATTTTCAATAGTATAGGCTCTAGCTGGTAATATAAACACAAGACAGTGCCCAACATCGACTTTGCCTCCTGCTAGTTTCACATGAGGTTGAAGATTTATTAAAAACAGTAAAACTAGACTTTTTGTTTCAAAAGTATGCCAACAAGTCGTCATCTAATCGTCATTAACAAGTTGTTAAAATGGAAAACAAGTGGCTCATTAAAGACTAAAAAACTGCAAAAGTTAGCACAAATTTCACAAACAAAAGAAAAGAAAAAGGTTTGCAATTTCCTGGAAAGAAGTAGGGCCACTAATTTTATAAGATTTTCCCATTTTTTTTCCTCCTTTACGAACAAGAAAAGGGGAAATGCCACTTTTTGCAAATATTTACGCCTGATTAAGTCTAGTTAAGTCCAGTCAAGAAGAAAATTGGTAAAACAAAACGTTTTGAGAAAGGAGAAAGAAAAATGACAAAGAAAATATGGTATTTTCAAATTTGTTGAGCCAGGAGAGAAGACTTATAGTTTCCACACTTTAATCCATGTGTCAAGCCTTTAAAAAATGGTGGAAAGGGATAATATGATGAAGGTAAAGAAAAAGGACAAAGGAAGAATTAGTATTCAAAATTGTTGAACCGGGTGGCAAATGACTCAAGACTAGTTTTCTTGACTTTAACCACCCTTTGCTTTTTCAATTCTTCAAACTCATTGTCAATACTTTCAACTTTCAAACCTCGTTGTTCCCACTTCTACAAACGAGTAACACTGTAGTTTATTCGAGACAGAATTTTTAAGTCAGGAAATATTTATCAACCAACTGAATTATATATGTTGGAGTGCAAGCAACACTTCATTATACAAGGGGGAAAAAGAAGAATTGAAGAAAAAGGGATAGAAGGAAAAATTTTTCGTTGTTTGATAAGAGAGGATAAGGAAAATAAGTGAATTTATATATTTTTCTTTCCAAATCTAATTTTTCCTTCCAAAAATGAAAGAAAAACACTAATTTAACTTATTTTTACTTCTAAACTTTTCTTTCATTTATTTTTCATCTTTCATATCAGATACAAATATAAAAAGGAAAAATAACTTTGGGAAAAGGGTAAACAAATCTTTGAACTAAATTCAATAATTATTAAAATTCTTACTGTTTTTTTACAATAAATTAAACTTTTAAATATTTATTTTCATCAATTGAGTCATTATTAAAAAAAATTGTTAATTGTTTTCATTTAATAGATGATTTAATTTTTTTATTATATAAATTGAGCTTAATTGATTAACTTTAATTTTATTTTTTTAACATGAATCGGATTTGAAAAAATTTTAAATCCAAAATATCAAGTTAGATTGAATTTAAATAAATTAATATTAAATATGAGCTCTGTTCAAACCTACCCGACCCATAAACAACCGGCGGTGATCAATGATCAAAGAATTTCAGTTCTTCGAAGTCTGGGTTGGAATGTTGAAGGAGTTTTGCCATTATTCTTCTCTTTCACTCTTTTCTTCAATTACCATCTCTCTCTTTTTCTCTTCTTTATTTTTTAGATATCAAAAACCTATCTCTTTTATTTCTCTAAAGTGATAAAACTCTTGATTGTTTTACTTCCAATCCACGAAACATCCTTGCATGTTCATTCTGCTGCCTTTAATTTCCCTGCAATATTCTCGTCTTAGAATTCATTTGAATTTGATGCTTAAAAGTTGAACCATTGATTTTATTTCGGTTAAAAATGTCAATATCTGAGATATGAATTGGCCTTCGCCGTTCGTCTGAGGGATTGGAGAAGAGCCGGATTTGATCTTTTCAATGCCTTAAAAAATATATACTTATTTAATTAATATAAAAATTTATATTTGATTTATTATTAATATATAAATTATAAATATTATAAATTGTTTGTTAAATCACAAAATAACATTTTGTAAAAAAATTAAATTTAAATATATTTTTAGTATTATGTGTATTTACTTTTTAAAATTAATTTTTTATAAAATATCATTATATAATTTACTGATAACATATGGCATACAATTATATATCAAATATAAATTCTTAATATAATAACTTTAATTAAAAATGTCCTTAACACATTCTTTAGAAAATTTCTTTTATAAGCAAATACGTAAAGGTCCAAATTTCTTTGAGGTAACCAATGATACCTCCATGCCTTAAGATTATCAATCAACCAAGATTAATCCTATTTACATCTTTGTATCTTTTTTTCAATATATTTGAGATTAAGAATTTGCAGTTTAATTCAAATATCAATAAAAACAAATTTAAACTGATTTATCTTAATATAAATTTGTACTTCTACCTATTGTTTATCTTTAAATTTATTTTTCTTTTAAAACAAACAATGTTTTAGGAACGAATGATTTGAATCTAACAATAAATTTTATTTTTGTGTAAACTCTTTAATAAATTTTTAATATTTTCAAATATTAAAAAAATAGATATAGGTTTACTCTAACAATAAGTGATCAAACTATGAATTAAGGGTTGTTGAGGAAATTTTGGGAAAGTTGGAGGATTCCATTGTAAAAGGAAGTTAAAAAGATTTGCCAGAGAGGCAAATTAGGTTGTTGATTTCCTTTTATAATAATGTTAAAGAAAGTTTTTGAGCACCTATTTTTAAATTATATTCTAATACATTGGCTCCAAAATAAAATTGTGTTGGCATATAATGTGAGACTTGTTTTTCGACATATTTAGAGAAATGAAATAAAATATATCTGAAGACACTAATAAACATGGAAAAGAAAAGTTAAGGAATTTTTCAAATTTTATGTTCATTTTTAGAAATCATTGCAAAAAAACTCAAAAATACTTTAATTCTCTTCAAAATGAGACAACTTAGAAGGTAATTTGTCAGTGTCGCTCTCTATTTGTTAGCCTTTCCTAACAAGTGTTATCCTCGCACCTGATAGATATTGTTATCTTGACAAGTGGTGGGTTTGTTATCCTGGAGAGTACTAGAGTGAGAATAAAGAAAGAAAACAACGTTTCAGTTAGAAATGTCCTTTTGCTTTGGTTGTTTTTTTTTTTTTCATTTATTGTCATACTGGTCTTTTTGTTGTCTAAATCAAAATAATGGCATTCCCGTATAACTGAGGGCAAGAAGAAAAAAGGGTGCATATAATAAAGGTGGACTATCAACTGGAAGCCGAATGGGGTTTAGAAAAGAGGGTCCATTTTTCCTGTCAAATTGCTGCATGGGGGCTCACCACAAATTTTTGGCCCACAGTGTTTGGATTGGAAGCCGTCCTGCCAATTGTTATGGAGTCGGAAATAGCCTAACAGGTTACAAGAATATACCAAAAACCAAAAAGACTAGTAACATATATATATATATATATTTATTATACACATTGTAAGAATTTTAAGTTTTTATTATTAGTGTGAAAAAATGTATAAAATAATAAAAATTTAAAGTTATATAGATAAAAAATAATTTTACGCTCTAAAAATTATTTTTGAACTGCAAACACACTCTTAAGGGGATTTTGCATTTGGTTTGCAAAATCAAAATCAAACCTTTTGACCACAAAGCAAAGATTAAAATTTTTTTACCCTGTTTAGCATTGAGGATGTAGTGAAAATGAGTTTTTTAGTCAAAAACACTTTTAGACCTCAATACTAAGCAATAGGTAAGGTTTTTGCTTGGAAAAATACTTTTAATCACTAATCCATAACTTTAATATATCTCAACGTAGCAAACAATCATATTGCCTGCGGGTAGAACTTCAAACTTTTAATTCCAATAATACCATAATTTTAATTTCAATAATTAGGGTTCAAATTCTAATAATTCATGTATCCAAATCATATCTCAATGCCACCTAATTTCAGATTTCCTATTGAGTTGCTGTCCCTGGCTGCTATAGACTTGTAGTTGATTCCTATAACCAATCTCCCCTAATTTTATGTCCATTTTTTCAATCGAATATGAGGACCGAAAGTCATAGTTAGGTCCTACAAGGAGCGAAGTGGTGGCGAATGTAATGGAAAGGATGTGTAAGTGTCTGAAACTCACGGGCCGTTTGGCACCAAGGGGCATTATAGTGGAGGAGTCCTCCCCATCACATTGTATGCCTTATTTCTCACTGGACCCATTGCTGGTGTCAATTCTGTCATTTTTGACATTACACACGATAAATCATAAAACATACATGGGATTCTGGTAAGCAGTCTGATTACATAAAGGGCACCAAAGAGAGCGCCTCTATTAACCATATGGCATAAACATTCTATAGGCAACATGTTCTTATTGCAAGCAGAATGCGAAACTAATTAAACAGTAATGTATATCAGCCATGCAAAACTGTAGTTTCAATGGTCTTGTCGGGGTAGTTCATAGGAGCGTCAAACTTGCTGAAAAGTCTGTAGGAAGAGATTAGTGACAGCACTGCATAGCAAATTACTACAATAAATGTGATGATTACTGATGTTGTTGCTTTATGACAGAAGCCGGAAAATGTCCCACAAGCTGCACTCCAAGTGATAGCTGCATCTCCTTTTTTTGCCAGGTAAAGCAACTCCGTTGACACAGCACCAGCACCCAGGATTATGTATGTGCAAATCTGGATAGTAAAACAGATTATAATTATGATTCTGATCGATGCTCTAGCCTGATCAGTAATTGACCATATGTGGTTTACTAAAAAAGTTCAATTGACCTGATCTAGGAGGAAGAAAGTCCAAGCTCGAGGTTTGGTGGAGGGACGAGGAATGGCTGCAATAATGGCTGAAAGAAGGGAATAGCCTGCACAAATTCCATTTGCATGCACCAAATACCTGAAAGGTGCAAACCAGTTAATGGTTAATGCCCAAAAAAAAATGATGATCGACTAGGTAATTAATAAGAAAGTAGGTAGAGGAATAGAAATACTTGAAAGCTCCAAGATCTGAGTAGGAAACAGAGCCAAACTCATTGGATTGAGAATTCTTGAGCATGATAACAAGTGCAGCAACACCTAAAGCCATTGGAACCAAACGCAGCATGGTTTCTGCAGTTCGCATGGTAGTAATCACCTCTTCATTTTCGGATCCTGACGACCCCATCAAAGCCATTGGAAACCTCGGAGCAGTGGCACCATTACACTTTTCACTCTTCTCCATCATCTATCAGTTCTTCCTTCTAATTTCCTTCTACTTCTTCTTCTAGCTATAAGAAATATGTACATGGCAGTGATAGAATGCCTTATTAATGGATTTAGGTAAGGTCGCTGGTGAAATCATTGAATGCCATTGAAGGCAGGCCACACTTTCCCAAGTGCATTGGATAACCACATGTCTCTCTCATATGGTTGTTATTAGTAATTTTCATGCTTATCTCCCCGTCAGACCAACAAATTGTAATTAATGCACAATTTCGTTTACCCTCCGCCAGCACCGTCAATTATATTTGATGTGCCAAATCAAGCATTAAATTCAAATTGCTTCTTTTAGTTCTTTTCAATCGAAATATTGCTCATTATTTTAATTCAAACAAGAACTGACCGTTCGTTCTTATTCGGGGCTCATTGCTAGACACCTCGTAGTAATTTAATTTGCTCGTGCTTAAAGTGGAGCCTACTCAACCATCTCATATAGATGTGAAAAATAAATCATAAATTAGGATATAGTCTCACAACTAGATCTGTCCATGACTGAGATCGGGCCCTCTATAGGAATTATTTATAAGAAGCTGTTTAGATTTTTCTTTATCAATAAAAACATTTTTTATTTTAATTTTATTTTAAAATATATTTTAAAATATTAAAATATGAAGATAATAATAGTATTTTTTAATATTTTATTTTTCAACCGTGCATAACTTATTCGGGCTTTCATGAAGGTCTCAAATTGAATCTTAAAATGAAAATGAGATTTTGCCAAATAAAAAAGGTTGATAAGTACTTTTTCTTAAGTACTTGAAAAAAATTAATTACCTCGAAAGTTAAATAGATGGATATATATATATATATATATATATATGTATATAACTACATAATGATTTTTTTAGTTTCAAGCCCTATATTATTGTAATTAATTTATAACATTTCTCTAATTAAATATTAGACCAAATTCATGTATTAATCATCAAAATCTAATTCGTACGTTCCAAGTTAACTATTTAAAAATGAATATTGGTACTACGAACCTTTGAACACATTGATTTTAGTACACTTTTCTTATTAGTCAATAATATTACCAAGAAAAGTAAAAATAAATAAATAAATAAAAACACATTGAATAATTCGTTAAATTCTTAAATAGGGAGTATGAGTCAAGTCATCCAGATCATATAGGTTAGTATTGAAATTTCATGAGATAAAATAAAGGTGAAGTGGGTCAGCAACCAATAAAAGTGTGCTTTTTGCTCAAGTGACCTCAAGTGACAAAAAAAATGAGTTATTTTTTATTTTTTACTTGAATGGCTCAATTGACAAAAAAAATATTATTCTTCTTTTCGTTACTTGAATTTAAATTTGCTAATATATTTCGTTAAATCCGATATAAATAAATATATTTGAATTGATTTGAAGAAAAAAATACTGGATAATACCTAAAAGCCTTTTTTCATTAAATAAAAAAAAAAAAGTTGGTTCAGCAAAGGAAGATAAACTCAAGCATTGCATTGATGGACGGAATAAGCAGGGAAACTTTTATAAAATTGTATAATGTGTGTTTTACGTATTTATAAGTTTTATCTCAGTCCCCTTTATTTTATCCTTTTACCATTTTTTTATGTTTTTGTAAAAATAAAAATACATGGAAAATAAAAAGATAATAATAGCAAAAATATAATTCAGACCGAATTTTTAATTTTACATAAATTTGATAATTTTAAAATTATATGATGATACAATATAAATATAATAAAAAATTATAATATTGATACAATTTAAAATTTAAAAATAAACGTTATATAAGTTTTACAGAACCAAAAAATATGTTTTGCATTTAGTGTATTGATATAATTTTACACATTTAATTCAAAAAAATATAATAAGAATAGACGATCTAATTTTAAAATTTTTATAAACTTGAATTAAAATTTCAAATAAGGGCTCTATCTTAAGGCACTTTTATAATTATCTGCAGCCTAAAGGTATAAATGGTGAACATTCTCGGGCCTAGTTGAGGTCTTAAAGGGCTAGCCGCCTAGCCCGGTCCATTAGCTCTAACTTTAGTACTATCAAAATAATATATTAATATTATAATTTTAAATTAAATTTAAATGAAATCAAAACTAAATTATGTTGATTCATATAATTAAATTTAAAAAATAATATTCAATAATTTTAAATTTTAACACATATTATCATTTTCTCTGTCACCAGAGTGCTATCTCTTCGCGTATAAAAAAAAATTAATATATTATTTATTTACTAGAATAATAAGCTGGGTTAAAGATCTTAAATCAAGCCTAGCCTAATTGGACCAAACATATGGGCCTGAAAGGCATCTCAGGTCAGACCCCATGGACATGGCTACAATAAGCCATGAACTTATCAAATTGTTCCGATGTGTATTTTGCCCATGGTGATCTTATGTTTCTTCGATTCAATGCGTAAAGCATCCATGACCAACTGACACTGTTTTTTGTTTTATTGCACTTATTATTGAACTAATTACTCAGATGCGACCTATTTAAAATCGTATAGCTCATATTTTGTTTCAAGGATGCAGTATCAATGGTGATTTGGATTGTTCGTTTCTTTTCCTACTCCATTGCAAGCTGTTTGAAAGATTGCTTAGACGAAATCATCCGTCTATATTGACCTCCTTTTTCGGTGTTCTTTGTACCTACTGTTTTGCCTTTAACTTTTAGGATTTGTTTAGTATTGCGTTTGGATTTCAAAACGCAATTTTTAAACGCAAAAGCAATACTAAAAACACAATTATTTATGTTAAAAGTATTTTTTTACCGTTAAAAAATCAACTGCAAAAGCTAATTTGAAAGCTTTAAAATTTATGATTTAAAGATAAAACTAAGATATACACAATTCAATTATTTATTTTTAACAAAAATATCTTATTATTTCCTTTCCAACATCATATACTTTTCAAATATTTTAATTTTTCAAAACAATGCTAAACATGTAAAAATTTTAAATCATAATTTTTCACAGCAAATTTTTACAGCACTTTTTTTAAATTGAGTTTTTTTTTTCAACCGCAACAGCAATGCTAAACTCGAATCGATTGTTTTGAACCACAGTCTGGTATCAAACTTGTATCCAGACCTCACAATTCGATAAAAATGGTCTACATGCTACTTTGCAACAATTCCGGTCTTTTGGCCATGGTTAATTGGTTTCCATTAAGGCTTCTGAAAATAAGTTTTTGCGGATCCAGATAAGGGAAGAAACCACTACTTTTGTCAACCAAATGGATTCCAACAAGGCAACAAGGTTTTTAGAGGTTTAAGTTTTCATGGAACTAGAAATTCCAAATTTCGATTGAATATGGGGATTCTTGTACCCTGACAAAGCAACAGACTACCGATTGCCCTGTACTGATTGAGATCTGGTTCTTCAACATTAGTCATCCTCAACATTACGTTTCTTTCATGAACTCTCAATCTCTACCAATATCCCTGCTGATACCACACTGAGATAAGGGTCATATTTCAATCTAGAATCCATGCCCCAAGTAAGTAAGAATCAGAAATCAAAAATGGTTTTTATACTTCAACTCTGCCCGGATTCACCGATCAATCTCCTCTAGTAACCCAAAATCCAGCAAGAAAGGGCTATGCTAACATCTACTTTTAATTTGAAAAAACCTGAGTAGAATTCATTGAGTGACAATTCAAGAACTCACACATTACTAGTGACAATTCAAGAACTCCTCACACGTTACTACTATCTCTTTTTTCAGCAGAGCCTCTGCTTCTTACCAAATGCTTCTAAAGATGGATCAAACTCCTGGTCCATATCATTTTGCCAGTTGCCATAATTTCACCACCACCACACCATATTTCTCATTAATTTCTAAATGGGATATCAAACTCATTGTCATCTCAGTTCATCACACTCTTCTCAATGAATTGATACTCATGTTACAGGTACTCTTAACTTGATCCTGATACTCATGTTACAAGGACTCTTATGTATGAACTGACACTCATGTTACACGGACTCTTCATTTTATCTCAACATATAAATGTTCGACACTTCCTGAATGCTATGAATTTATGAGTATGAGGCTTATATCCCTAAAAAATTAATGTAAAAATTTTGCATAAAAACATGACATACCTGTTTTAGCCACTTAACGGAGTCTGACATCTGATCCACAATCCATGTGTGAAACATAAGATCAAGACAATGCTTTTTGCTCACTTGATTATCTACTTTCACCTTGCCTTTCCTAATTAAATCTGGAAGCGTGAATTTCCCTGCTTCATTATTAAATATAGTTCATTATACATAAGTTTTCACAGATTAACTCTCCATAATATCAAAACAATCCAATTAGCTCCATTTAGCCCTCAGTTCTCCTAAATTATACAATTTACATATTAGAAAATTTTCATACATTCAAAATTTAAAGTGTCAATTTCAATTACAATAACAAAAAAAAAAAAAAAAGCTCCAAATCCAATTCTCGAAAAGAAAAAAAAAATTCAAACTTATTCAGCAAGTTGAATATCACCCAAATCAAGCTCAGCAGCAATCTCCTCTAACTGCTTCTTAACACTCATATCAATCATTTTTGACCCTGTACTCCCATATTTGATGGTAAACCCAGCTACCAAGCTTGGGTCAATCACAGTTTTAATCCTAACATTCTTAGCACCAGTCAGCTTCTGCACCTGTTTAGCAATCTGTGCCAAATGCTGAGACTCCAACTTCACCACTGAACTCACCACAGCCAACTCCGTATCTGTCAGCTTATTATAAACCAACTCAAACTCTTTGACAATTTCCTTAATAAGGTCAATCCTCTTGGCATCAACCAGGATGTTTAAAAAGTTTGCAGTGTGAGGCTGAAGCTCGGAAGACTTTACTATTTCATCTAAAACCAGACGTTTTTTGAGGATGTCGATGGTGGGGTTGGCAAAGAAGTCGAGAACTTGAGGGTCAGAGAAGATGTTTTCGACTTTTTCAATGTCAGAGCTGGTGGCATCCAGGGAATTGTTGGACTTGGCTATATCAGCTAAAGCTGTAGCGTAGCTGGGAGCAGCTGTAGCTGACATTTTGGTGCCACCCTGGAGAGGGCGAGGGGTGGAGGGTTTGAGGGAAGGGAAGGTGGCTGAAAAGGAGAGGTTGAGTGATGGAAGGGCTCCGGGGAGTTGGGAAGATCGGAGGAACTTGGATTGAAGAGTGATTGAAGTTTGCTGAAGAGAAGCCATTGGTTTTTTGGTCAGTTTGATTTTGCTTTGGCTTGGCCCCTGGCAGATGTTTGGGTAGGGATTGGTGTGAAGAAGAAATTTGGAGAAATAAAGCAGATTGTGATCTGTGATAGTAATAGGGTTATCTTCTATTGGAGAAGGAGGGCCACATATGGGAGATAACAGGTAAAAGCCCATCAATTGATACTTGCCAAAATGAAGTAAACAACTAAAACATGTGGTTGTTCGTAGGATTGTTATAATTATATATAAAAAAATTATATTAATATTTTTAAATATATTAAAATTTAAATTAAATAAAATAATTGTCAAAGTGAAATTAAGCCTAAACATATCCTAATCAACCAAACTCATACATAGTTTTAGTTGTTCAATTTGCAAATCAATTTTACCTTTTAACATTTCACCAACTTTCAACAACTACCCACCATTCATTAATTTATACTCTCTTTTTTTTTTGTCTTTTTCTTTTTTAAACAATAAGTAAAAAGTGTTGTTTGATTACAAAAACATTTGATTTTTTAAAGACATTTGATTTTTTGAATAATTATAATTATAATCTTTTTAGGAAAAATACATGATTTTTTTATAATGAGAAACCTAAACATAATATCAATACACTGTTTGTCTAATAATATAATTATAAGACAAAAAAACAATTATGCAAGACAAAAAATTTAAAAATTATAAAAAATAATATATAAGAGAAGACTAAGCAATAAGAGTTGAAACTAAATGTAAATTGCATTACTAGCAATTTCTGGCATAATTTTTTTTTCTCTTATATTTTTTTACTTTTTTAAAAATAAAATAAAGTGAAAACTAATTGACATTAAAAAAATTTATATTAGAAATTCTTTTTTTTCGTATTTTTGCAACTTAAGCCCAAGCAACTTGGTGTCGAAGACAATCTGATGTCAAGGTTGTGACTGAATGCAACTCATATCGGCCAATCTCAGGGCCCCCAAACCCAAGACTGGAAGCCCAAATACTGGGCTTCACCCACTGCACCCATGTAAGACACCATTGTCAAGATACCCTCCAACAAAAAAAAAAAGTTTAAAAAAAAAAAACTAAGTAATCCGAATGAAACTATTTGTCTCACCCCTTTTAACCCCAAAAAATATTTTTATTCCTAATATAGCATATAATTATTATTTTAATTATAATATTTCATTTATGAATTAATTTACTTACTCATGAATTAATAGACTATTTTTGAATTCATTCAATAATTATATATATCATACGAGGGAATATAAAATTTAAGACAAAATTAACATGGAAAGTAGCTCGACTCAATAAAAATAACACTAATTCATAGGCTCACCCATCCCTTTTAAAACTCATTTTTTAGGTTTAAGTGCCCATTATCATGCAAACATACTAAACCTCCAAAAGTCATGAGAAAGTTGAAGTTGAAGGTTCGTTTTTTTTTTTTTTATCACTTTTAAAATTGTTGTGTTGATTTAATTGTCATAATGATAAGATTATTAAGATGACTTGATGAGTAATGATCTTAAATTATTATGATTAATATGATATTATAAATTATTGTATTTGATATTGCATAAAAAAATATTGAACATAAAACATTCAAAATAACATTATTATTAATAATAATAACGTTATTTAAAAGAAAGCAACATTTTTAATTATTATTGAATGAAAAAAAATTATAAAATAAGAATCATTGTTCTATAAAAAAAAAAAGGTATGAACAAGTTCAGTATGATTCAAAATTGTTAACATGTTTATCTTTTAAAGTCATATAAGCTGTCTTGTATAAATGATTAAAAAGTAAAAATTTGCCTATTACAAACTAAATATTAAAGAGAATCATATTTTGGTGGACACCAGAAAATAAATTTATCCTAAAATGATTTTTAAAATAAAATTATTTTGATGATAATTTTTTTTATATATTTTTGAATGAGAATCAAATTATCATATAAAATAATATTTAATTATTATCATTGTTAGTTCAATCGATTTTGCTCGTCATTTTCAATGAAAAGATTTTAGATTCAAATTTTATTGATGATCATTTATTGAAGTTATTTCGAATGCACGACTTACAGTCATTTATTTTAGATTGTCAAATATGACATATCTTACCATAACCTGAGAGATTGAGTAACCTATCTATTATTTTTTTTATCAAAAAAAAATTTTCAGATTATTTCCTAATACATTGGTATGATGATTACATCACTTTCGTTCTTAACCGAAAAAAAAACTTTTTATTGAAAAAAAATAATGATTTATTAGGTCCAAATTTAGGTATCTATTCAAAATGATTTTGATTTCTTCTATCCCTCCAAAATTTAATTAAGTAGACATTAAAACAAAACAAAAAAGAAATGGCTTGCAATTGTTTTAGTTGCAATAGAAAAAAAAATGACATCAATGATAATTCATCCTATTCTTGTCGAATTAGACCAAATATTTTTGTCGTCCACAGGATAGCCAACTTACCCAAGAAAGGCACTCCCAAATTAACAAGAATATATGCACAATAAGTATCTGTTAAAACATATTTATATAGGAAATATATTACTTTTTATTAACTCCAAATTTTAAATCAGAATCCCAAGCAAATATAAGTGATCTGACTAGTTTTGAGAACACAAAAAAAAAAAAAAAAAAATTTCACCCCAACAACACAAAACAAGCGGGCACAACTAAATGCCCATTTGTTCAAACAAAATTTTATGGTAACTAAATATAGCCCTTCCATAATTTCACTAAATTCCAAAAACTTTCTTTATTTGCAAAACAAATCCATAGACTTTTTCTTGGTCAGGAAGAGACTTGGAAACACTCTGCTTTTTCAGACACCTTTTAGCCCACGCAATTAATTTGGGGCACTCTGCTTCAATGCTGAAGTTGCCACACTTCTTTTAGGCATAAAACCAGCTGTAAAATGGCACAAACACAATATTTACATAACCAAGATTTTCTCCGCCAAAGTAAGGCTTGTCTCCAAGCTCTCCTTCCACCAGCTTTAGACACTTAATAAATTCTTTCTTTGCATTTGCCTGTTCTTCTCCCTTAGTTGCCCATATTTTCCTCCCAATGTCAGGCATCTGCATATTTATGAAACAATAATTTAGGCAAAACATCTTATATACTATCTAAACAATAATTATTCAAAATATGTTATATATTATCTAGAAAAATGTCTATACAGGTGAGAAGATTTATGAAAATGAATGAATGTTATCTGTTTCTGCTTGATTCAATATCAATTATACGAAAAAATAATATTCACCACAACTTGACTTGATTATGCATCTAATTATCAAAATTAAAAAAAAAAAAAATGAAACACAAAGTATCTCAAATCAAATCATCCTATTGATTAAAGTTATCATACCAGCATTAGCAGTTAATGCTTAATGAGTACACTGTTTATATATATATATATATATATATATATATAAAACCCCCAAAATTCAAAGTCTGACCAAATCAATCAAAGCACGCATGGACTTGCCCTAGTAAAATTTGTTTATAGATAAACGGGCTCGTCAGGAACAACAGAGCAGTCAGTTCAGCCATGAAAGAAGACTTGGAGACTAAGATTAAGATCTATTCTTCACAAAGTCACCCTCAATTACTTGATTTGGAAAGCAAAGTGTTCAAGGTCTGTGAAAATGAGGCACTTTAGCGCTTAAAATTTGCATTTTATTTGCAACTGAGCTCATTCCGTTATTTTGCACATTATAATTACTATCATGTTCCTTGGAGTAATAGTGGAACCAATTACTAGCACACTAATAATACTTTTATAACTTTAAATGAGGTGCATGGGATAGCCATCTTAATTGCTCTAATAAACCAATTTTAATACATAGAATTCCTACACCAGAGCCATCAACAAACAACATCCAAATTTATTCCAGCAGAGTGCTTGATATTGGAGGGCGTTTGGATGATTTGAAGGGTTGGTGTGGGGGCTCTGCTAGTTTATCTGTCTCTTTTAGTTTCTGTGGTTCTGTTTGTCGAGGTTCAGTCTGGCTTTGAGTTTAAGGCGGGAGTTGGGTGTTACCAGGGCAACAAGAACAAGGACCAAAAGCCAGGTTGATGGCATCACATTAATAGCTCAATACAGAAAGATTATCTAGTTTGGAAACCAAAGACTTAAGTTTATGGCTCCTTTGTCAATAAAGAGGTCTTTCTGGACCTAGAAAAGATGCCTTGGTAACGAATTAGGCATTATTCATATTTGCATGCCTGTATGCAACCTTGTCAACAAAATCAGCCCAGAATCTAGCATAGCTCTCTGGTAAGAATCAGAAGGAAGCAAAGAAGATTTATGACACCAAACCTCATCAATATACTGAATCTGGATGAATGACTCACAAATAGGTTTACCATGGATAAGAACAGAGATTTTTTTGTGAACAGAATTCATCTGCAAAAGCAAATCACTCTTGTTCCTCAAATCTTCTTCCGTTGACTCATACTTTATTCCTTTCTCAGCCAAAGCAATCCTCATTCTCATTCCAAATGGACTTGGCCAGAAATCCAACAAAATGACTTTTTCTGACATTTTGATAATCTAAACAATCAAAGATTAAAACTAACTCAAAACTTAAAAAAAAAAAAAAACTTAGTTTTGTTTTGGTTTTGAATGTCTGAAATTTGTCAAAGTGTATTTATAGATATAAAATATTTCACATCACAGGATTTATAAAAGTTACTGTTTCATTTTTCCAAATATGTATTACTGACACTTCTTTTCTGATAAGAAACGAAGTTGCCGTTATCATCAAACATACACAAAGATTTTGCTCACATATTACGTTTTGCATTTGATTTTTTTTCTTTTATTTAATTTTTTCTTTTGGTCCCAATAAATTTGCTACTAAAAAAATATTATGATAATAATATATGTCAGTTAAATTTTGACTAAAATATTTAAAAATTTTTCGAATTTTATTATTTTATTTAGATAAAATTTTATATTTTTATTATATTTAAATAATATATTTAAATACAAATTAGATGATAAATATTTATTTAGATAAAATTAAAATTTAAAAGTTTATTTGAATGTAAAATAAAAAATAAAAAATAATTTAAGTTCAATAAAAATAAAAAAATTTATTTAAATAAAGGAATAAAATTTATGAACTTTTTATTATTTTAACCTTAAAATTTTTTTAAAGTTTTATCTATTTGTA